TTAGGCTCCACGTCAATATATCACTTCGTCAGTTTAAACGAATGTCCAACTTCTTTTTCCTTTATATAAAAAATTTCCATTCCAATTGGCATTAAGAAAAATCGAAAAAATGGAGAGTAGGAGGGGCAGAATCAGATGGAGTAGCAAGGCGGCGTACGCCCTGGTCGGCTTGTTGCTGTTGAGCTTGGCGAGCCGTCTATCGGCTCTATCGGTAACGGTGAACGAAGAGGAATGCGTATACGAATACGTATTGTACGATGGCGACACCGTTTCCGGGAATTTCGTCGTCGTTGACCACGATATTTTCTGGAGTTCAGATCACCCCGGCATTGATTTCACTGTAATACTCCCTATTCTCTATATTTATGTTGCTACTTAGCTTGATCTGTCTAAAAGTGAGTTAGATTGGGATATATGGGATCTGGGCGTGGGGATTTTTGAAGAAAATTCTGAGCTTTTATCTAATATATTTTTTTATATGTTTTAGTTGGTTTTTTTAAAGGCGTTTGTTTCTTTTTTTCTTGATTTGTATCTTTGTTTTTGGTGAATTTTGTGTTTTAGCAATGCTATTTGATTAAGAATTTGTGAACTGTGTTTTAAAGATGCTATTTGATTAAAAATTTGACCTTTTCACAAAAGTATTGATTTTTTTTTCTGTATTAAGACACAGAAATTGAATTTTTTTATTTAGTTTTATTTTTTTATGTATGTAATAGCTGATCATTATAATTGATTGAATTCTTTGCTCAAGATTGATTTCTTGAATATGATAATATTTTCAGATAAAAATATGGCATTTCAGTTTACAATTATAGTTACTGTGTTTTATAGCTATGTTTATAAATTATAACATATGAAGAAAATTCATGTGAAATTTATTGCTGCAATTAAAGGGCACGGTTAGTCTAAAAAAGCTCCTTATGAATCTAAATAACCATAACTAGATCCATGAAAGATTGACGTTGCCCAGGAGACTAATTCTAGATCATGGTAATAGGTTATTAGTATATCATATACACAAATGCAGTTACAGTATAGTGCCTTTTTTTGCTTTATTCGGACATTTTCAAGATTGCACTAGAATATCTTTTGTCCTTAACATTGTGTGGGCAAATATAAGTACAACCAACTAGTAAAATTGTTTCCATAGATTTTTTTTTCCACCATGGATTATCTTTTGCTCATTAAAGGAAGACTTGCATATTATTGATTGACTATGGCGTGACAGTAAATTAGCTTGTAGAGTACCAACGGGTAGGACAAGTTGATTACGTTTAAAATTTGATTGCCAGCTTAACAAAGAATCTTCATTTAAGAAAAGAAGGAAGCATAAAACGATTAGGAGAAAATACTCCAATCTTTGGATGTACAAAATTGACAAGATTGCTCCACAATTCCAATTTATTAGTTATACGTCTTATGACACT